GGTGTAATAGAGGCAGTTTTGACAGGAAGTCAGAAAAACCACAAGAATTCCTGACAAAATTCCAAAGAGACCTTCACGTGCCTGCCACAGGGTCACTCATTCAGATCATGTTTAGATGTGTATGTTGTGTTGGCTTAAATCCTGCAGAATTAGCTACCTCAGATATCTCCAATAAAGATGTAAATAAAGTCCAGCTCCCCTTGCCAGCAAATAATAATGAGGACAGAGATAGTACCAGAAGTGGGTAAAGAAGTTCTGAATTCAAGTTGAGTTGACATGTTAGCAGATGAACTAAAGCTTGAATGGTGTCATGGGCTGAATGTGTCCTTCTCCCCACTAGAGACATATCCTCTCAACCTGTGAATGTAAGCTTAATTGGAAAAAGGGTCTTTGCTGATGTGATTAAGTTAAAATTCAATATGAGCACATCAAGAATTAGAGGAGAGAGGAGAAGATAGAGGGAAGAAGGAAATGTGAAGATGCAGACAGATTGGAAGGACTTGTCCACAAGCCAAGAAATGCCAAGCGCTGATTGAAGCCACCCAAAGGTTGGAGAGAGGCATGGATCAGCTTCTTCCTCAGAGAAATGCCCGGCTGACACTTGACCTCAGACTTCAGACCCCAGAGTTGTCAGAGAATGAATTTCTGCTGCTTTAAACCATTGGATTATGGTAGTTTGTTATGACAGCTTCTGGAAATGAATGCTGGTGGTAAATGGCTGTGGGCTTTTGTGATCATAGAGTCATAACACTTGGGCTTGCTGCTCTCCAGAAAGAGAGCAATCCATTCCTCCAGAAGTGGCTCCTGGAATTATTGAGTCCTACTGGCCAGGTAAACTCCCTTTGCAGGGAGTCCTCCCCCTACTTAGTGTTTTCCTGAGAGAATATCTCTTGGTTTCTGATAACCAAATATGGATGTCTCCTCAGTATGACCTCATTTGATATTTGTAAAGGAAAAAAAATTGTTCCCCCAAACTTATGTGTAAGAAAAGTCTCGTGTTATATTCCATCTACCAAAGTATCACAATTATATGTAAGAGCTGCTTGGTGTTAAGGAAGGCTACCTTATTCCACACAGAGCACCTCTGGTTAACTGCAGTATTAACTATTGAGCAGTTAGCAATTGATGTTTTATACCTTTTATATTCTAATTTAGTGTTTGTTTGAGATATATAGGAATCTTATATTGGTGGTTTGGGGTTAATATGTAGCACATTTTTTTCCATTTAAAATAATGGAAAATTGGCTTTCAACTACTGGTTTCTTACAGCATGTCTGATTGTGGGAAAATGGATTGAGGAAATTGTGTGGGAGAGATCTACACAAAGTGAAATAAAAATCCATAAATGTTTAAGTTAAAAATTGTTACAGTAAAAGAAACATTGCCATCAATCTCCAACAAAATACTCGTCTTCACCTCAAACACACTTGTCCCATTGTTCTTGCCGTTCTCTGAAACAGTTCTGGAAGTGCACTTTTGTGAGTGTCTTTTCAGTTGCATTATTTTGACTGCTGCTATACCTTGCATTGATTCAAAATGTTTACCTTTCATGGTCATTTTGACTTTGGGGAAGAGTCAGAAGTCACACAGTGCCAGACATGGTGAATAAGGTAGATGAAGGCATAACATAATGTTTTTATTTGTGAGGAATTGCCATAAATGCAAACTGTGAAGGGCTTCAGAAACTGGCAGGAATGATAGGATAAGTGTGTTCAATGTGAGGTGGAATATTTGGAGGGGGATGGATGGCAAAGTATCTTTTACTGAAATAAATTTTTAAAATTTAAACATTCACTCTGTTTTTGATCATATTGTGGACTTCCTTTTCTTGCTGTCTGTCATGTTTTAGAGAAGCACAGCTGACTCGATCTTTAGAGAAAATCTTTCACTGAAAGATGTGATTTAGCATCTTTACCTCATTATCTGAATTAGAAACTGTTGTGACCGACCACTTTACTTTAGATTCATCACTCTTTAGTATTTCCAAGGTATCGTTGATTTTTCTTCAGTTTCATATATGACACTAGCTAAATTTCTATAAGATGGACATAAAAGTGTTAAATGCACGTGTTTATTAAGCTTGAGCTTGGGGGCATTTAGATTGGTAACTCAAAATGCTTACTAGTCAACTGTTATAAAATTCAGGGACTACATGCAAGGAAGGGTTCCAAATATGTCTAGGTATCAAGAAACAGTCTTTTGGCATAAGTGGCCTGAAAAAAATTAATCTGTTTTCCTACCAGAAAGATACTGAAAATTCCCAATGAAAAAGGTATTGGAAAAAGTGGCTGAAAGTGTAAATTACAGTTGATCTTAGCCAAAAGGCCAAGAAGCAATTGAAAGTGTAAATTTATAGAGCAGAGTCATAACTAACTGTTAATACATAAATATTCATTTGACTGCCTAAAATATGTATGTGGAAGGAGTCCTAGTTTTAAAAAAGAGATAAACATAAATTATCTTTAGTGGGTTTATCATAATTATGTGTTCTAAAAACCCTATTTTTTATATGCCAAATAAGGCTGACACATGGAATGCATTATATTCCAGCTAATGGTTTCAATCAAGTTCATAACAGAGCTGAGTAGGTAGCAAGGGTTTCTGGACCCATGTCTCCAATCACAGGGTACCCAGGGACATGAGCACTCCCACATAGAGGAACTCCAGGGTCCAAATCCTTGGAATCTTATGTCTCTACCACCCACACTTGTTACTCCCATGGATACAGTAAGTTTTGTTTGCTTTTATGAAAAGAAAAAATAAAAGGGTTGGCAAGATAAATCTTATTGTAGGATAAGTGGCATTGAATTTTTTTTAGCTCGACATTATGATAAGTTTATAGTCGAGTTGGAGAACATTATGTTTTCTTGTGGCACGGCAAGATATGTTTTCAAAACTCAGTAGTTCACACACGAGGAAACTGAGAAAGAACAGTTTATTGACACTTGGCAGTGTAGATTTGCAAACTTTCTTTTACGCACTTAAACATGATTTAAAGTTGACATTTATGTAGTCTTTAAATTCTAATTTCTATTTGGAGTATTTTGTTAATTCTTTGTCCACTATTTAAGAAATTTCATTAGTTCAAAAAAATGAACTACCTTTTCGTTTCCTTTGGATGTGGGAATTTGTGAAAGGAATTCAATATGTAAGTGCTTGATTTCTTTTTGCTTTGAAGAGGATCAAGAATTGAAACTCCCTGTAAGCTTTGGCTTCTGTTGAAAGGTGTAAAGAGGGAATTCTTTACTTGTGTTTGCAGTTTTGGCCTGCAGGGGATGTTCAAGCGCAACGACGCTAACAGAGCTGGCTCGCGCTGAAGTGTTTTCATGCTCCCTGAGTAACCTTAGCTCAGAAAAATGCAGCAAAAGCCAAAGTAAGCACTCCTACCCGATCTGTCACTGCGTGGAAGAGAGTTGAGGCAGCCATATTTAATCAGCGCTGAAGTCTCTTCTGGGTGATGTTCGTGCCCTTCTGTAATATTTTATTCTAAGCCATTTCCCAGACAGCATTATTGATTCGTGTCATTATTCTCTCCGGAGCTCCGGGAGCCTGTGCAATGTGATACCAACTGCAGTTCTCTTTATGAACATAAACTCAGAACCGAAAAAGGTGACTGCCTGCAACATTCACAATTACCCAGATGGCATATTACACAGTGCATCGAAGACGTTTTAAACTCTTACACTCTAGCATCAACTGGCAGTAATGCACTTGCTAAAATAGAAAATTACTAACAACAACAGCAGGAGAAAGATTTGGCCCTTGTTTCTTATTTCTGGTTTTTACTTCCTAACTAGTAGATTTGCGCTCAGAGTGAGAAGATACTGTTCCTTAGATATTTCGTGCGGGTGGCTTGGAGGAGGAATTCCTCTGCCCTGAAAGAGTCATTAAAAATAATATCACCTTTGCTATTTATCTGGACCAGAGTTTTAAAATTCTTTCTTTTCCTCTCTTTCAGAGAGAAAAAAAGTATAATTATTTTTTCTTAATGACCTACTGAATTGTAACGGGAGATTCTGTGAATGAATTAGGAAGTGAATGAATGAATGAATAAATAGAAACCCAATAATTTTTAGTATTTTTCCAGAGATCTTTAACCCTCAGAAAATGACTCACTGATTACTTTTCTCAACACAGTTCTAATTTGGAGTCCAGCAGCATACTTAAAAGGTACACATTCTTAATTTTACCTTCTGGACATAGTGTCATAAGAGTAGCAAATACTCTCCATATCATTGTGTCCTGATATACATATATTTAGGTGAAGGTAATAATATACCACCTAGATATACACAGTTGTGGCACCAAATGTGTTTTCTTTGGGCCTAGTGGAGTAATAGAAGTTGAGATGCCTCATCTTCTCCTTCCTTTCTTCTTCCTTCAGCAACATATCCTAACAGTTATACTAAACCCGTGTCTCTACTTCAGGAATCTTTTGTCTTGTTGAGTTTACTGTTGGAACTTAACATTTGCACAGTAAGCATTATCAATCCAGTATTCTGCTTTCCGTTTTTTATGAACCATGAAGGTATTATGGTAATAATTTACCTGAAAACTATGATAAATAATGAATAAAGATTGCCATAATCATAGTATCAATTATTGAATATCTGTGCTTCAGCTCTTCTATTATACAATTTATTTGTATTCGCATCCAGTCCTCACAGAAACACCAAGAAGTAAATATTATGACCAATTTGCATATATTTAAACTGAAGCTCAGAGAGCTTATCTGTTAAATTAGACCACTCAACTTACTTGAAAGGAAGAGTTTCCTAAAAGTCAATCACATGATAAATTCAGATAATTCTAGGAAAAAAATAATGTAAGACATTTTCCCTAGTAGTTATGAACCTATATTCTAAAGACAATCATTAAATGTGAATTATAGGCACAAGAACAAACAGACTGATAAGTCTGAAAAGAAAATTGAGCAATAAGGCCAAGTATAGCTAGTAATGAATTTTATTTTTTTTTATTTTTTATTTTTTTGGTACCAGGGATCCAACTTGGGACCTTGCACTTGCAAGGCAGGCACCGGAATTTTACTGAAAATTCCATAAGGCTAAATACAGAGGTGAGTGCTCTGCATACATATCACTTAATCCTTGCATGTTTCTATAAGGCATTGTTATCTCCACATTTTACATAAAGAAACAAAGGTTTAGACAAGTTGACTTAGTAACTCACCCAAAGATATACTGTGGGTCTGAATGAACATAAGTCTTTCTAATTCTAGTGACAAACTGCTTCACAACTGTGCTACATGGTCATTCCAATATATCTCATGGAATTTAGTACATGATAAAAGTAGCATTTTGAATCAGCCAGAGGAAAACCAATATCTTATTCAATAAATGGTGCTGGACTAACTATAAATTGCAGGAAAAATTAAATTGGATATTTAGTTCAATCATATCAAGATAAATTCCAGATGGATCAAATATATAAATGTAAAAAGTGAAGCCATAAACATCCTAAAAGCAAATGAAGATATATACTTTTGGTAAAACCACAAGAAGACCAGAAGTCATAAATAAAAGGTTAGTAACATTGACTATGAAACATTTTAAACTTTTGGTTACAAAAGATAATTTAAGCAAATTAAAAGGCAAATATACCCAGAAAATGGCCACAACATATATGTTAGACAAACTATTAATAATCTTAACATATAAAAAAAACTCTTGAAATCAATGAGAAAATAATCAAAATTCTTGTAGCAAAGTGGGCAAAATTTATGAACAATTGCTTCATAAGAAGAAATATAAATAGTCAAAGACATTATTAATAATCAAGGTAAAACAAATTACAACAGGAATAAGATAGCATTTTAAGAAATTCTCTAATTGGAAAAATACCAATGCTTTTTGTGTCGGTATGGTCTGGGAAAACGAACAGCTCATGATGTAAATTGTTAACATTATAATTGAATGAAAAATTAAAGTGTACAATTTTTATACTTTTGTGCATCAGTTAAAAATAAATTTACAGAGTATAAATATAAATAAAAATAAAAAATGTGTACCATTGTTCCTGAATGCTACTTCAAAAAATTTAAGAAAACAATTAAATAAAAATACATGTAAAAATATGAATGCCCAAGCAGATTTATTGCAGCCTTATTTATTGTGAAATAAAATTCAAAACAATATAAATGTCTACCATGAAAGCATTTCTGGTAGAAGTTATGGTTTATGGATATAATGGAATATTATGAACCATTAGAAATAATGCTACACAGTTATATTTATAGGCATGGAAATGTGTTCATGACATCCAAGTAAAAAAAATGCAGGCTACATACACACCAGCTGTGAAAAGCCATGTGTGAATACCATATACACTCAGGACAAGTCAAATTGGCTAGCCAGCACATTATTGGTGTTACAGTGGTTTTTTAATTTGCACAATTATTGTATTTAAGCACTTTGTTTTATGATGGCTTGTGTTTACTACCAGAAAAGAAGTGAAGCTCTTCACTTTTGGGAAACTGTTGGAAGGACACACGTGCTGGCACTGAATGACGCGCCAAGGGAGAGGAGATGATTCTGAGAACAGTAACATCAGGTTTCCCAGGGGTTTATGGTCACTGTCTTGGAACACTTCTGCCTCTGCTGGCAACCCCTTTCTTCTCCTCTCTTTCCCGCTGTTTCTGCTCTACTATTACTTTCACTTCTATGAAAATAAGCTGTTGTGACCCATACTTTTATGGTGCCAATTCAGAAAAGCAACTGAATGACTTCTCCTCCTCCTCCTCCTCCTCTTCCTCCTCCTCTTCCTCCTCCTCCTCCTCCTCTTTTTCTTCTTCTTCAACCTGAGTCACTACAAATGTCACAGGCAGGCATATGACTTGGCTACCCTTGGCTCATGTGCTCATCCATACAATTACCTGGGCCTAATTAGGCTGTCTTGGTGCCCAGGCCAGAGATTTCTGCAGGCAGTAGAAGCAAGGTCATTTCCCTTGCAAAGTGGTCAGGATGGATTACCTACTCTGTACATATGATGTGGCAACAAAAATTCTCAGAGAGGGACTAGTCTGTTTATTGCCTACGACTATTAATTTAACAACTTTAAAAGCTGGTGAGAAAAATTATATCAGAAACCATTGGAGATCCAGAAAGAGGAGGCCACAAAACCAAATTTAGTAAGAAAAAATATTTTACATAGCTTAGGGATATTTGGCATTGAAATAGACAAATACCAATAGCAAATTGACACTGAAGCATCTAACACCCACACCACTGAGTGCTGGACTGTGTCATTCAGAGATTCCTCGTAGCATATGTTATATATTTTTGCTTCAAGAAATTCAATATGCAAATCTTTACAGAACTAAAAATCAAAGAGGATAGAAAAACAGTATTTGAAACCACAATTTAAATAGTTTGTCTAAATTTTGTATAAATTAAAAATTATGACTGTACTAATTTGATATTGTACCAATTTAAAAGTTTGGATTTTTTTATAAATTCTCAATGGCAATGGTCTGCACTGGCCAATTATTATGATTTACCAAGTGGCTCCAAACATTTTATTACAACTCACAAATCATACTGATTTATAAGCCAAGATAAGAAATTTAAGACTTTGCCTAAATAAATATATTTAATTATTTTATTGAGCAAAGGAAACTCAAATTTTGCCTGTTTATCCAGGTAATAGCATGGTGAGTGTCAATAATGCTGGGAATTCCCTAAACAAGTAGAATAAAGGTAGATACTATCTTTAAAAAACCAGTGTTTTGGCCCAAATCTGAGAATTAGATTCTATGACATTGTGCCTTTCCAATTATCCTTATGAATGGTTTTAATGCAAGTGAACAAAATATTATTTGGTTATTCCATTATTTCAAATAATGTGGCTTGAAGTATGTTAGCACTATGGATAGAGATTAAAAAGTACAACTCCTAATTTGAAGGAAGTTAAAGTTTAGTAGAGGAGACAGGCATGTAAATAGATCATTACAGCATGTGCTGTTCTAGAAAAGTGCTCAGGGTATTCTGGGAAACCTGTTCTCGCCCTTCATTCTTGTTGGGAGTCATCCATATAATATTCTCATGAACATGCAAATGTTTCAATATCCTGGCTTTGAGTGTCTTCTCAGGGTAGAGGCACAACACAGTTTTTGGAGTTAATACGTGGTCTACCCATACACAAGCCCTTAGGCATAATTTGTACCGATATGAAACATGACTTTAAATTTTTGCCAAACAATACTTTTGTAGTGTTTCTTGTTCAATGAGAACTGTTGTATTGAGTTCTGACAGCAATAAAGGTGTTTCATCAATCCATCTCATGAAGTAGCGGTACCCATCTAATGCAACCAACCAACACTTTATAAACTTTAATATTCTCATTGTGTTTCCAAACATTCACTAAATACATGCGCTTTTTTTTAAAGCATGCATATTGTTGATTTTCTATGTAGGGTAAAAAGTATGCAATTTGTCCACGTAATTGGTATTCAATCTCCTATACACATCTTGTTTAAAATTCCTTCTTTTTCCTACTTTCTAGTATCGACTTACAAGTCATTTCATAGTGCCCTGGGTCATCTTGTTTTGTAGATAAAAATCATTTATACAAAAAGGAAAAAAAGTGAACTGATATATGAGCTAAACATTTCCTTGATGGACAATGAAAAA